GGAGGGGGAAGAGGGGAGGGGAAGGGGGAGGGGAGGAGAGGAGAGGAAGAAAAAAGTAAGGAGGAAGGCAGGGAGGAGAGGAGAGGAGTGGAGGGGAAAGAGGGGAAAGGAGGGGAGGGGAGGGGAGGAGAGGGGAAGGGAGGAGAGAAGAGGAAAAAAGAAAGGAGGAAGGGAGGAGAGAAAAGAAAAGGGGAAGAAGGAAGGAAGGAGAGGAAAGAGAGTAAAGAAAGAAAGGTGAAAAGAAGGGATAGCAGGAGGAGGCAGGCAAATGCCTAGACAGATAGGAACGGGTCCCTGGGCAAACTGTACCTTTGAGCCAAAAATAGCTTGGACTGCTGGTCCCAAAGGAAACCTGCAACCCAGAGTGAGAACTTCTGCTTCCGTTTGCCCACCCTTTCCTGATTGGTTCTTTCTGAGTAAGACTTTTTTTTGCAGTGCTGTGATCTCAGCTCACCGCAACCTGCACCTCCTGGGTTTAAGCAATTCTCCCGCCTCAGGCTCCCAAGTAGCTAGTACCCACCACCATGCCCAGCTAATTTTTGTACTTTTAGTAGAGACAGGGTTTTACCATGTTGGCCAGGCTGGTCTGAACTCCTGATCTCAGGTGATGGCCCATCTTGGCCTCCCCAAGTGCTGGGATTACAGGCGTGAGCCACTGCACCTGGCCTCAATAATGTTTTTTAACCAATCAACTGTTACCTTTTCCAATACTACTCACAGCCTGCCCCTTCCCTATCCTGTGCCTATAAAAACTCCCACACTCAGCCACACTGAGAGAGATGACCTGACCTTCCCATCCCCTCTTGTCTGACAGCTGTTTCATTGCTCAATAAAATTCTCTGTCCTTATCATCTTTCAATTGTCAGTATGACCTCATTCTTCTTGGACACGGGACAAGAGCTCGGGACTCACCAAGTGCAGGTACCCAGAAAGGCTGTAACACTGTGGCCCTCTGTGCTTGCTGGCAGAGGGCAGCTGCCCCATGCAATAGAAGCAGAGGTAGGACCAAGCCAGTCCCAGAACTGTGGACCAGAATGACGCAAGGGGCTGACTGGGCTGCTAACATGCGGCCATCCATTGGGTTGTGGACGATGGAACTAAAAGAGCAAATTAGGCTGGGTGTGGTGGCTCACATTTGTAATCCCAGCACTTTGGGAGGCCGAAACAGGTAGATTGCCTGAGGTCAGGATTTTAAGACCAGCCTGGTCAACATGGTGGAACCCCATCTCTACTAAAATACAAAAATTAGTAGGACATGGTGGCAGGTGCCTGTAATCCCAGCTACTTGGGAGGCTGAGGCACAAGAATCGCTTGAACCCAGGAGGTAGAGGTTGCAGTGAGCCAAGATCATGCCATTGCATTCCAGCCTGGGTGACAGAGCAAGACTCCATCTCAAAAAGTAAGAGCTAATTAGCACACTGTAACACCCGCTCTGCGGCTTCAGGGTTGAGAGGCCTCTTGTGTTTCCCTTGGGGCAACACACCTGGTCTGGCCGTGGGCCCCGCATGGAGCCTGCCCCCGTGTGAGTGCTTGGAGCAGCCAGCTGGACCCTACACTGAGTGCTCGGTCACAGCAGTGTCCAGGGGAGCTGCAGCCTGGACCACAAGCCAGATGTGGCCCCGCTGGCTGAGAAGATGGGGTGCCCCCTGCTGCCAGTCTGGCAAAGAGGCCAAGAAAAATCCTGCATCAAGAGGAACAAAAGGGCCTGGTGTGGTAGCTCACACCTGTAATCCCAGCACTCTGGGAGGCTGAGGCAGGTGGATCACAAAGTCAAGAGATCAAGACCAGCCTGCCAACATGGTGAAACCCTGTGTCTACTAAAATTACAAAAATTAGCTGAGTGTGTTGGTGTAACCCTGTAATCCCAGCTATTCAGGAGGCTGAGGTGGGAGGATCACTTGAGCCCAGAAATTCAAGGCTGCAATGAGTTATGATTGAGCCACTGCACTCCAGCCTGGGTGACACGGCAATACCCTTTCTCAAAAAAACAAAAAGGCCGGGTGCAGTGGCTCACGCCTGTAATCCCAGGGAAGCTGAGGTGCCTGAATCACCTGAGGTCAGGAATTCAAGACCAGCCTGACCAACATGGTGAAACCCCATTTCCACTAAAAATACAAAATTAGCCGGGCATGGTGTGGCACATGCCTGTGGTCCCAGCTACTCCGGAGGCTGAGGCAGGAGAATGACTTGAACCCAGTAGGCAGAGGTTGCAGTGAGCTGAGATTGCACCATTGCGCTCCAGCCTGGGCAACAAGAGCGAAAACTCTGTATCAAAAAAAGAAAAAAAAAAAGAGAGAGAGGAAGAAAAAGAATAGAAAAACCACAGTGTCTATGCTAGTTTTTGTGCCACAGCTGCAGAGTTGAGTCTTTGCAACTGAGAATGGCTGGTCTGGACTGCAAAAAATGTTTACTATGAGGCCATTTGGCAGAAAACATTTGCTGACCTCTGGCCCTAGGAGCCCTCCCTGTTCCCAAGCCCACCCGCCTCTCCAATCCCGTCCTGATTGGCTTCCTCACTACTCCAAATGAGAGCTAAACACTACCTGCGGCGAGGAGAGACTCATCTTCAGACACCACCAGGAACCTCACAGCATCTGGAAGCTTCTCCAGCAATCTGTCCCCTTCGGAGGAAACCTGTGCAGAGCCAAGGATGCCTGTCAGGTACTTCCATGGGTTAAAAGCTGGGAATTTTTTTTTTTTTTTTTTTAGATGGAGTCTTGCTCTGTCTCCCAGGCAGGAGTGCAGTGGCATGACCTCAGCTCACTGCAGCCTCCACCTCCCGGGTGTAAGTGATTCTCCTGCCTCAGCCTCTCAAGTAGCTGAGGTTACAGGAGTGTACCACCATGCCCGACTAATTTTTGTATTTTTAGTACATGGGGTTTCACCATGTTGGTCAGGCTGGTCTTGAACTCCCGACCTCAGGATCCACCAGCCTCGGCCTCCCAAAGTGCTGGAATTACAGGCGTGTACCACCATGCCCAGCCCTTTTTCTCATTTTCACGTCCTTCTTGTTCCAAGCCTGCCTCCTCTGGGGAGGCTTCCCAGATTATCCCTTTCAGAAGCATTTGATCCTTCACCCAACAGAGACTGTATTGCTTCTACCTCTACTGAAAGCAGACTCTGTTCCGCTAGTGCCACTGTAAGTCACTGATGAACCCAGCTCCCTCCCTGTGTTGAGTTCTTTGACGGTAGGGTTGGGAGGCGGTCTTATGTTTCATTTCTTTTTTTTAAATTTGAGACAGGGTCTTCTTCTGTCACTCAGGCTGGAGTGCAGGGGTGCAATCATAGCTCACTGCAGCCTCAACCTCCTGGGCTGAAGTGATTCTCCCACCTCAGCCTCCCAAGTAGCTGGGACCCCAGGTGTGCACCACCATGCCCAGACAAGTTTTGTATTTTTGGTGGGAGGTCCTGCTATGTTGCCCAGATTGGCCTTAAACTCCTGGGCTCAAGTGATCTTCCCACCTTGGCCTCCCAAAGTGCTGGGATTACAGGTGTGAGCCACTGCGCCCGGACCCCATGATTTTTTAGTGGTCACATTCCTCCTCAGCAGAGTATACCAGACCCTCTCTGATCTGTCTCCACACTCCCTCTATTTTCCCTAATATCCAGGCATGTTCCTATCTCCCCTCTATTCCTTTTTTTCTTGAGACGGAGTTTTGCTCTTATTGCCCGGGCTGGAGTGCAATGGCACGATCTTAGTTCACCGCAACCTCCACCTCCTGGGTTCAAGCAATTCTCCTGCCTCAGCCTCCCGAGTAGCTGGGATTGCAGGTGTGTGCCATGCCCGGCTAATTTTTGTATTTTTAGTAGAGATGGGGTTTCTCCATGTTGGTCAGGCTGGTTTTGAACTCCTGACCTCAGGTGATCCGCCCGCCTCAGCTTCCCAAAGTGCTGGGATTACAGGCGTGAGCCACCACGCCCAGCAGGGGGTCTTATGTTTCTATAGCCCATCCAGTGCCTAGCATGGTGCCAAAGCTTCTCCATTACATTTCCTTACATAATTTGCTGTTAGCATTCCCGCCATATGCCCTCCACGTTTTCCTCCATTCCTGAGGCTTCTTACTGCAAACATCTCCTAGCAGCTTTTTCCCCCCTTACCAGGATGCCTGGTACATGTGTTTTTGTTTGTTTCGTTCTGTTGCCCAGGCTGGAGTGCAGTGGCAAGATCTCCGCTCATTGCAACCTCCGCCTCCCAGATTCAAGCAATTCTCCTGCCTCAGCCTCCCGAGTAGCTGGGATCACAGGCACATAACACCACACCAGGCTAATTTTTGTTTTTGCTTTTTGAGATGGAGTTTTGCTCTTGTTGCCCAGGCTGAAATGCAGTGGCTCAATCTTGGCTCACTACAACTTCTGCCTCCTGGGTTCAAGTGATTCTCCTGCCTCAGCCTCCCAAGCAGTTGGGATTACAGGCACCCACCACCACGCCCAGCTAATTTTTGTGTTTTTAGTAGAGACAGGGTTTCACCATGTTGGTCAGGCAGGCCTCAAACTCCTGACCTCGTGATCCACCCGCCCCGGCCTCCTAAAGTGCTGGGATTACAGGTGTGAGCCACTGTGCCTGGCCTCATATCATGTCCTAGAGCTCCCCTGAAGGACTGAGCTTCATCAGTTGCCCACATGGGTCAGTCCCCATGTGGGCAATTGATGCAGAAACGCCAATGGATGTTTCCTGAACTGTGCTGAACTGCAAATCCAAGTGCTGGGGCTGGGCATGGTGGCTCACGCCTGGAATCCCAACACTCTGGGAGGCCGAAACAGGAGCTTGAGAGCAGCCTGCGTAACAGAGTTAACATAGTAAGAGCCTGTCTCTATGAAAAACGTTTTAAAAATTAGCGTGGTGGTGTACCCTGTAACCTTCCTAGCTCCTTGGGAGGCTGAAGCCAGGGGGTCTGTTGAGCCCAGGTGTTGAGGATTGCGGGGAGCCAGGATCACACTGCTGTACTCCAACCTGGGCAATAGAGCAAGAGCCTGTCTCTAAAAATAATTGATAACAATAATAAAGAAGCTGTCTGGGCATAGTGGCTGATGCC